GTTGCTATGAGTTGGGTCTGACTCTACGGCACATAACAACAACAGTGAGCTGACATCAACTGGTATGGGCCATTTTAAATTGGATAGTCATAGAGTCTACTATGCCAGCATTAACAAATTGAAAAGGAATGGTGTCACATTCATTGTCAGAAGGAACATTTCAGCATTCATCATGAAGTACAGCACTCCAGTGATAGAATAACATCCATAAGCCTACAAGGAAGACCGGTTAATACAACTATTAATTCAAATTTATACACCAACTACTGATACCAAAAATGAAGAGATTAAAGATTTTTACCAACTCTGCAGTCTGAAATTTATCAAACGTGCAATCAAGATTCATTGATAACTACTGCTGATTGGAGTGAGAAAGCTGGAAACAAATATGAAGGATCAGTATTTGGAAAATATGGTTTTGGTGATGTAAACAATGCCAGAGATCACATGATAGAATTTTGCAAGACCAATGACTTACTCATTGCAAGTACCTTTTTCAACAATATAAATGGTGACAGAATGTGTAGATCTCACCAGATGTAATACACAGGAATCAAATTGACTACATCTGTGGGAAGAGGTGATGAAGAAGCCCAGTATCATGAGTCAGAACAAGGCTGGGGCCGACTGCAGAACACACCATCAATTGATCATATAAAAGTTCAAGTTAAAGCTGAAGAAAATGAAAACAAATCCACAAGAGCCAAAGTATGACCTTGACTATATCCTATCCCACTTGCAATTAGAGACCATCTCGAGTAGATTTGATGCATTGAACTCTAACGACTGAACACCAGATGAGTTGTGGGATAACATCAAGGACATAATACATGAAGAAAGCAAAATGTCATTAAAAAGAGAAAAGAAAGAGAAGACTAAAACACATGTCAGAAGAGACTCTGAAACTTGCTCTTGGACATAGAGTAGCTGAAGTAATACAAAGAAATGATGAAGTAAAAGAACTGAAAAGATTTCAAAGGGCAGTTTGAGAAGACAAAGTGTTACTATGAAATGTGCAAAAGACCTGGAGTTAGAAAACCAAAAGGAAGAAAACAATCAGCATTTCTCAAGTTGAAAGAGCTGAAGAAGAAATTCATGCTTCAGGTTGCAATATAGAAGGATTATGTGGGCAAAATATCAAATGCATAGGAAGTATTGAAAGAATATGGAGGGAGTACACAGAGTCAACATGTACAAAAAAGAATTGGTCGACATTCAGTCATTTAAGGAAGTAGCATATGATCAAGAACTGATGATATTGTAGGAAGAATTTCAAGCTGCACTGAAGGCATTGGCGGAGAAGCAAGGCTCCAGGAATTGACAGAATGCCGATTCTGATGTTTCAACAAATGGATGCAACTTTGGAAATACTAACTTGTATATGCCAAGAAATTTGGAAGATAGCTACCTGGCCAACCAACTGGAAGAGATCCATATTAAGGCCCATTCCAAAGAAAGGTGATCCAACAGAATGCAGAAATTATCAAACAATATCATTAATATCACATGTGAGTAAAGTTTTGCTGAAAAATAATTCAAAAAAGGTTGCAGCATCCTAAAGAAGTGAGAGCCAGGGTAAGAACAGCTACATGCACACCCATGTTCATCACAATACTATTTACAATAGCAAAAAGATGGAAACAGCCTAGGTGCCCATCAACAGAAGAATGGATAAACAAATTATGGTACATACACACAGTGGAATATTATGCAACCCTAAAGAATAATGTGGAATCTGCAAAACACCACATAATGTGGAAGAACTGGAAAACAAAATGCTGAGTGAAATAAGTCAATCACAGAAGGACAAATACTGTATTAGTTCTTATTATAAAAAGTCAAGGAAAGATTTTATATGGAAGGAAATGTTCTTTGTTGTTTACCAGTGGTGGGAGGGAGGCGAGGGGACACTGCTAGTTAGAAACAAGTATTGATTTGGGTGAAGGGAAGGCAAGTATACCAAATGTGAGTGATCAACACGGTGGCATTGAGGAAGAAGAAGACATAGAGAGATGCATGGAAGGTACAGATAACAAAGATGAACCTTTTTGTACATACGGTACTGCATTGTCAGTGATGGCAAGCATTGATCTACGGATGGATAGATGGGTGGACAGGCTGAATGATTAGGTATGTCTGTGCAGGGGGGAGTGTGCCCATGACCATGTATAGCGTTGGCAGACAATGTTTCTACAAGTGTATTTGTGTATTCTGTAAGAATTTCCAGGTATATACGAGAGCTGACAAGAGACAAGATTGTAGTTACTCCTTGGCCACAGCCAGCTACCTGTAGAGAGTGAGTAGTTGGACCTGTGGGCCCGGGACCATGGTCGCAGAGGACTTCAAGCTCAGTTGGCATAATATACTACACAAAAACATTGTTCCACATCCTACTTTGGCAAGTAGCAACTGGGATCTTAAAAGCTTGCAAGCAGCCATCTAGATGGAATTAATGGATCTCCCCTCATCCAGAGCAAAAAAGAATGAAGAAAACCAAAGATGCATGGAAACAATTAGTCCAAGGGACTGATACACCATGCCATCCACAGCCTATACAACTATGAGACCAGAAGAATTAGATGGTGTCCAGCTACCACTGTCAACCACTTAGAGGGGGATCTATGTAGGAGATCCTGGGTCGAGTGGGAGAACAACGTGGAACAAAACTCAAAATCATTTAAAAAAAAAAAGAGGGACCAGGTTTGCTGGTCTGATAGAGCCTAATGGAACCCTTGAGACTATGGTTCCTAGCTGCCCTTCAGGTCTGTAATGGAACTGACTCCTGTGGTTTCCAGCCAAACAAAAGACAGACATATGAGCTGAAGATTTACATTAGGTAGATATTTTTCTTGGAGAAATCAATCATGGGAGAATAGAAGGGCTGTGTATGCACAGGGAGACAGTTCGTGGGTCAGGAGTGCATGGGAGGGAAGGACACAGGGAAGAGGTGGCTATGGGGAGGAAAGTGGGAGGAGAACTGTTGTATTGTGAGATATTGCAGTCAAGGTCATGAGAGAGTGTATGTGAACTGTATGGAAGATGAATTTGCTTTGTAAACTTTCACCCAAATCACAATAAAAGTTTTTTTTTAAAAAAAGGGTACAGCAGTAAGTAGACAGGGAACTGCCAGAAATTCAAGCCAGATTCAGAAGAGGACGTGTAACGAGGGATATCATTGCTGATGTCAGATAGATCTTGGCTGGAAACAAAACAAAGAATACCAGAAAACTGCTTACCTGTTTTATTGCCTATGCCAAGGCATTTGACTATGTGGATTATAACAAATTATAGATAACATTGAGGAGAATGGGAATTCTAGAACACTTAATTGTACTCATGAGGAACCTGTACATAGACCAGGCGGCTGTTGTTTGAACAGAAGTCAGCAAAGTTGTATGTCAGAGTTCTCTTCTGTCACCACACTTACTCAGTCTGTGTACTGAGCAGATAATCTGAGAAGCTGGACTATATGAAGAAAGTGACATCAGGTTGGAGGAAGAGTCATTAACAACCTGCAGTACGTAATTGACACAACTTTGCTTGCTAAAAGTGAAGAAGATTTGAAATAGTTATTGATGAAGATCAAAGACTACAGCCTATGGTGTGGATTATGCCTCAACATAAAAACAAAAATCTTCACAACTGGACCAATAAGCAGCAGCATGATAAATGAAGAAAAGATTGAAGTTACAAAGGATTTCATTTTACTTGGGTCCACAATCAATAACCATGGAAGCAGTAGTCAGGAAATCAGACAATATATTGCACTGGGCAAATCTACTGCAAAAGACCTCTTTAAGGTGTTAAAGAGCAAAGATGTCACTTTGAAGACAAAGGTTGGTCTGACCCAAGCCAGGGTATTTTTAGTAGCCTCTTATGCATGTGAAAGCTCGGCAGTGAATAAAAAGATTGCATAAGAATTGATGCATTTGAATTGTGGCATTTGTGATGAATATGAAATAAAACGTTGACTGCCAGAAGAACAAACAAATCTGTCTTGGAAAAAGTACAGCTTTAAAAGCAAGGAGAGCGGGACTTTGTCTCTTATACTTTGGATATGTGATTAAGTTGACCCGTCCCTGGAGAAAGACATCAAACTTGGTAAAATAGAGGGTTGGCATAAAAGAGGAAGGCTCTCAATGAGATGGATTGACACGGGCTGCAATAATGGTCTCAGACATTATTTTTGATGATTATGAGGATGGTGAAGGACAGGACAGGATTTTGTTTTGTCGTGCATGGGGTCACTATCAGTTGAAACTGACTTGACTGCAACTAACAATGATTTACATATATGTATACATATGTTGTATGCATGTGTGTATGAATATATGTGTGTATGTGTAGTATATCCTTTATAGTTTATAGAATTATGAGAGGTTTTCCTAAGAAAAATAAGTATATTTAAGTTCTACCCTTGTTTAATCTATACCCTAAGATCTTTAGATATTAAGCCTTTTACAAACAAATGGTGTTCAGCTTTGTGTAACACTAAGTACTACATCTGAGGAAATAGGTTTTCAGTTTACGTTATTTGAAGAAGTTGGAATATTAATGATGCTATTGGAGGTCATTGAAATGTTAACTAAAAAACTTACTTTCACCTCTTAGTGTATTTCTTTTGCTTCTTTCAAATCATATCACTGATATTTGATCATTCTTAAGAGATTAGTGAGGTACCTACAATATGTTGATCCCAGGTTAGTGTACTGATCTATAATATATTTTTAAAATATATTAATTATATGTTACCATTTTTTACCTTTCGGTTTATTTTTTTGATAAACAAATTTTTAGTGAGCTAATTTGTTGATTTTAGAGGTATCTGTAGTAATTGCATCCAGTCTCATGTGTTAAGTTATTTAGTGGCTGATACGTGGCAGATACATTTTTATGTTTCCATTAAGTGACAATATGGGATGGATTTCAATTTTCCTTTTTTTTTATTACTAGTTTGTTAGCCACAGAATCCTAATATACTAGCTTTTCCTTATTTGCAGAGATCCTGTATATTTTGATGAAAATTGGCTAAACAGAATCAAAACTGAAGTAGGAGATAATTGGAGACTAAAGGTATTTCCTTTTTATTTTTTCTTTGGTTAATTAATCCTTAAACATTTGTGTGTGTATAATATTTGTTGATTGTCTGTCTGATATGTCCAGTGAGCTTTAGAAACTTAGGCAGGCTGTAGCAAAATAATCTAGAATTGAAAATTGGAGTTAACCTGAAGTTGTTCACCAACAAATAATGTAAGTCAGCACAGCGTAAGTGGCCAAGTGCTTGGACTCTGGAGCCACAGAGCCAGTTTGCACATCATAACTCTACCATTTACAGTCCTTCGGAGAGTTGTTTTAGCTTTCTGTGCCTCTGTTTTCCATTTATATAATTAAGCTGATAATAGGTTATACCTCACAGAAATAAATGACTTAAATATGTAAAGCATATATTTTATAAATAGTGTATGGCACATATATGTGCTAGTTACTAGTGTTTTATTATTAATAATGAAAAAAAAATCAATCATTATTAACTGTGCCCAAAACAGTCATAGAATGAAACATTTTCATTTCCTTCCTGGTAAGATTAAGTTCCAGTATTTCTCAAGCTTTTTTAAGCAAAACCTACAATAAGAATATGGTTTATATTGCAGCCTACACCCACCTAAATGTATGTGCTTATTTAGCTGAAACAAGTTTTTTCCTTACTTTGTGTACTGATGTTTTTATTTTATTTTGAAAAATATTACTTGAAATCCACTAAATTGATACTAAACTTTATATTTACAAATACTTACAAATTCACAGGAAATTGCAGAAAAATTGTACGGAAAGGTTTCATGTACCTGTCATTCAGTTTCTCCAATGATAACATCTTGTGCAACTATAGTACAATATCAAAACTAGGAAACTGATATCCATAGTTTACTCACATTTCACCAGTTTTACGTGCACTCATTTGTATTTGTATTCGTGTGTATCATTGCATGTTATTTTATCACATGTACCACCACAATCAAGATACAGAACTGTTGTAGTATCACAAGGCTGCTTTTATAATCACATCCATACCACTCCCCATCCATAATCTTAGGCAACCACTAATTTGTCCTCCCGCTCTATAATTTTGTTACATTAAATTGATTTTTATGACCCATAAATGGCCATAACCAATAGTTAGAAAACCCTGGAACCATTTCTTTTTTATATAGACTGATATATACCAAGAAATACAAGTTAATAGGTGTGTGAAACCCATAGATTTATGATATTATGATATGCTAAGCTTGGTCTTTCCTTTTATTTCCCCACAAAACATATGTTTACTTAGATACTGGATCTGCCAAAACCAAATTCCTTTTTTTTTTTCCCTACTAGTGTAGAGTGAATGGAAACTGTCTGGTGGCTCTCTTTTAATATTTAACCAATCTCTCAAGACTAGGCAATTCAAATATTTTTAATATTTAATATTTAAGGCTGACAACCTTTATGGAAGCAGTCAGCCTCATCTTTCTTCTGCAGAGTGGCTGGTGGGTTCAAACCACCGACCTTTTGGTTAGCAGCCAAATACCTTAACTATTATATACCACCAGAGCTCCTAAACACACATATGTACACACAAATACACACATAGTCTTCATTGTCAAAAGTATGGCAAAATTAGTAATATGAAGAAGGGGGAAAAAGTTTGATCATATTCTTAATGTTAATTACTACTATTTTCAGTTCTGATTTACATTCCTGTGCCTCATTATTTTATCCTGTTAGATTTCAATTTTAAGATGCCATTGATTGATCATAAGATACATAACTTTTTGTGAAAAGTTTTAAAAAAAAACTACCATTTTTAATGAATACCTTGAGTTTTAAGACATTTTAATTTCAAATGTTAAAATATGGGGGAAAAAACATCTTAGAATAAAGGAAATATATATTTTCTACGACTTCAAATATTTTCAGAAGTATAGTCATGTTAACTTTATTTATGGGAAGTATAAGCTAATTTCCAGAAGAACTAGATGGTTCCTGGCTAACACTACTGACCACTCTGATTGGGATCACACTAGAAGATCCTTGATAGAGTGGGAGAAAGTATCAAACAAAACTCAAAAAAGACCAGACTTAACTGATCTGAGAGAGACTGGTGGAATCCTCAAGACCCTTAGAGACTCTGTAAACATGGAATTGAATTTCCTCCATAGATTAGCTTCCAGCTAAACAATAGTCAGACCTAAAGTGAACAGTAACACCAGAGTGGAATGTATTCCTTAAAACAATCAACCAAATGAGACCAAAAGGGCAACATTTGCTCAGGGCTAAAGCTCAGAAGGCAGGAAGGGGCAGGAAAGAAGAATGAGTGGAAATAGGGAAGCCAGGGAAGAAGGAGGAAGAGGGCTGTTACACTGTGGGGACTACAGTCAATGTCACAAAGCAAAATGTGTATCAATTGTTGAATGGAAAAAGCATTTGCTCTATAACCTTTCACCTAAGTCACAATAAAATGTTAAATAAATAAGCTAGTTTTCAGATTACTTTCTGCCTTGCAAATAATTGTGTCCTTGATTAATCACTAAACTGCAGTGCTGTTATTCAACCTCTTTTATTTGATAGTTACAAATAAAAATGTCTACTGTCTTTCATTGCAGGACATCTTCAACTCACTACACTAACCAGAGAAGGCTAGGTAGATGATGAACAGAATCATAATATATACCCATTTAACTTACTACAAATTCAACAGCATGAGTTGTATTCCCCCTGCCACCCCCAAAAAAGAAAACAATTAACAGTTTATATGATGCAGGTGATTCTGCCTATTGTTTCATCCAGTTAGCATATGGCCCATCAATTTATGCTCTTGAGTATGTTGGGAGACATTGGTGTGTTGGTCCCTTATCCTGTCTTGTTTCTAGAGTGCTTCTTCTAGTACACATATCTTGCTATAAACCAAAAAAAATAAAAAACAAAACTCAGTGCCTTCGAGTCGGATCCGACACATAGCAACCCCTCCTTGGTTTTCTAAGGCAGTATCACTACAAAAGTAGATTCCCCAACCTTCCTTCCGAGGAGTGGCTGGTGAATTTGAACTGCCAGCCTTCTGGTTAGCAATCAAATGCCTTAGGCACTACGTGTTAATTCTAGTATTTCAAGATATAACAGTATTTTCTTTTAACCTGATAGCCCTTCAATATATAGTTTGTTTGGTGCTCAACTGAATTAGAAATAGCCTTTTCTGGTAGTGAAGGAATTTAGAAATAACATTCTTCATGTGGGTTATTTTAAGAGATTTCCAAAGGTAATTTTGACTCTTTTTTTTTTTTTTTAATGCTTTTACTTTAGAATTTAACCTCAGTGTAAAATACAGCTTTGCTTTTCTGGGGAAGACAGCATTGAACTCAAATCTTCATTAATAAGGACATCACATTTTTTTCCTCTACCTGCAGAAAATCTGAATAATTTGATCTTACTGTTAAGTCTCATTCAGTTACCCTCCAGTTTTTATCCATGTGATCATAATGTTGAAAATTTTACATAATTGGAAACATAATTTATTTTAAAAATCATAAATACTTTTAGCCAGTACTGTATTTTTTATCAAATAACATACATGTTACATGTTTTTTCCCACCATGCAAACCTCCCTATTTTCATAAGTGTGCTTAGCATGCATAATATATGTGGGCATGTTATTTATGTGGGTACATTATTTACCAAAAAAAACACAGAGATAATACTTTCTTGATGATGGTAGTTCAGATATGCTGAATTATTTTTTTTTAATATTTATATGATTAACTTGAATGATTGACTCTGAAAATTTTTATGTTAAAATATATTTTGATCTGTGCATGCCTTTTATCTGTTTGTTTTCTCTCTTTAAATAGATAAGCAACTTAAAGAAAATTTTAAAAGGGATCCTGGATTACAATCATGAGGTAATGGCTTTTTTTTTTTTTTTGACATATCTGTATCAAAATAATACATTAAAACAAACTCACATCTCTGAGGATGGTTTAGTGTTTTTGAAACTTACTTTATGCTCTTTTTAAAAATTTAATATATACTCATTACTGTATAATTATCTACCACTCATCTGTCAGTTTGATACTGTGGTGGTTTGCATGTTGCTGTGAGGCTGGAGGCTATGCCACTGGTATTTCAAACACCAGCAGGGTCACCCATGGAGGACAGGTTTCAGCGGAGCTACCAGACTAAGACAGACTCAGAAGGAGGAAAGGGGTATCCACTTCTCAAAGAATTGCCCACTGAAAATGTTATGAAAAGCAGTAGAACACTGTATATTACAGGAAAACTTTATGAATAACCCTGAAACATTGTCCAATATAGTGCTGGAAGATGAGCCTCTCAGATTGGAGGGACATGTAGATGGAATACACAGGAATCAGATTGACTACATCTGTGGCAAGAGGCAATGGAAAAGCTCAATGTCTTCAGCCAAAACAAGGCCAGAAGCTGACTGTGAAACAGACTATTAATTGCTCATATGCAAGTTCAAATTTAAGCTGAAGACAATTAAAACAAATCAGTGAGAGCCAAAATAATGGCCTTGATTATATTCCACCTGAATTTAGAGACCATGTGAAGAATAGATTTGACATATTGAACACCAGTGACCAAAAACCAGAGGAATTGTGGAATGACATCAACAGCATCATCCACGAAAAAAGCGAAAGGTCCTTAAAAAGATAGGAGAGGAAGAAAAAACAAAATGGATATGAGAAGAGACCCTAAAACTTGCTTTTCAATGGACAGTAGCTAAAGCAAATGGGAGAAATGACAAGATAAAAGAGCTGAACAGAAGATTTCAAAGAGCAGCTCGAGAAGATAAAGCCAATTCCTATAAAGAAATGTGCAAATACCTGGAGTTAGAAAACCAAAAGGGAAGAACACATTCGGCATTTCTCAAGCTGAAAACTGAAGAAAACATTCAAGTCTTGAATTGTAAGATTCTGTTCTATTCATTGAAAGATTCTATGGACAAAATGGGAGCTCTGGTGGTGTAGTGCCTAAGGCATTTAACTGCTAACCAGAAGGGTGGCAGTTCAAATCCACCAGCCACTCCTCGGAAGGAAGGTTGGTCAATCTACTTGTGTTGTGATACTGCCTTCGAAACCCAAGGAGGAGTCGCTGTGAATCAGATACAACTTGATGGCAGCGAGTTTGGTATGGTTACTGGCAAAATATTGAATGATGTAGGAAATATCACAAGAAGATGGAAGGAATACAGAGTCACTGTACCAAAAAGAATTGATCGATGTTCACATATTTCATGAGGTTGCATATGATCAAGAACCAGGGATATTGAAGGAGGAAGTCGAAGGTGCACTGAAGGAATTGGCGAAAAATAAGGCTCCAGGAATTGATGGAATACCGATTGAGATATTTCAGCCAAAGGAGTTGGAGGCACTTACTCATCTACGCAAAGAGAGCTACCTGCCCAGCTGACTGGAAGAGATCTGTATTTGTACCCATTGCAAAGAAAGGTGATTCAACAGAATGTGGAAATTACTGAACAATAACATTATCACACATAAGTAAAACCTTGCTGAAGGTAATTCAAAAACGGTTGCGACAATACATCTATGGAACTTCCAGAAATACAAGCTGGATTCAGAAGAGGACGTGGGACTAGGGATATCATTGCTGATGTCAGATGGATCATGGGTGAAAGCAAAGAATACCAGAAAGATGTTTACTTGTGCTTTATTGACTATGCAAAAGCATTTGACTGGTCGATCATAATAAATTACGGGTAACATTGAGAAGAATAGGCATTCCAGAACACTTAATTGTGCTCATAAGGAACCTGTATACATAGACCAGGAGGCTGTCTTTCAAACAGAACAAGGGGATACTACGTGGTTTAAAATCAGAAAGGGAGTGTGTCAGGGTTCTATCCTTTCACCATTCTTATTCAGTCTATATGCTGAGCAGATAATTTGGGAAGCTGGACTATATGAAAAAGAGTGTAGCATCAGGATTGAAGGAAGACTCAGTAACAGCCTGCAATATGCAGACAACACAACATTGCTAGCTGAAAGTGATGATGACTTGAAGCACTTACTGATGAAGTTTAAAGGCTACAGTCTGCAGTATGGATTATACCTGAACATAAAATGAAAAGCCTTACAACTGGACCAATAAGCAACCTCACGATAAATGGAGAAAAGATTGAAGTTATCAAAGATTTCATGTTACTTGGTTCCACAATCAACACCAATGGAAACAGCAGTCAAGAAATCAGATGACGTATTGCACTGAGCAAATCTGTGACAAAAGACCTCTTTCAAGTGCTTAAGGGCAAAGATGTGTATTTGAACACTAAGGTACACCTTACTCAATCCGTGGTATTTTCAGTAGCCTTATATGCATGTGAAAGGTGGACAGTGAGGGAGGAAGACCAAAGAGGAGTTGATGTTTTTGAGTTGTGGTATTGTTGAAGAAAACTGAAAGTACCATGGATTGCCAGAAGAACGAACAGATCTGCCCTGGAAGAAGTGCAGCCGTAATGCTCCTTGGAAGCTGCAGTGGCTAGACTGCGTCTCACCTACTTTTTGGTCATGTTGTCAGAAGGGACCATTCCCTGGTGAAGGATATCATGCTTGGTAAAGTGCAGGGTCAGCAAAGAAGGGGAAGGCCCTCAATGAGATTGATTGACACAGTGGCTGCAATGATGGGCTCAGGTATAGCAAAGATTGTGAGGTTGGCAAAGGACCAGGCAGTGTTTCCTTTTGTTGTATATAGGGTCTCTATGAGTTGGAGCCGACTGAGTGGCACATAACAAGAACAACATTTGATTATAGAAAAGAGTTGGAGAGTCAATAAAACTAAAATATTACTCTCTCTCTCTGTGTGTGTGTGTGTGTAGTTATTTGCTCATTTTGAGCATACATAACCATTTAGTGAGCCCATACTATGTGATTTATTACCATTCTCCCCATATATTTTTTTCTCAAAGCTCAATATTCTTTTTCTTCTTACTTCCTACTATAAAATCTGAGGCAGTTCTTTGTGCATTTTACTAATTCATTTTATATTTCCTGATCTATAAACTATGTGATGGTGGAGTTCTTGTTTAAATAAACTCATGTTCTGGCATTACCTTTCTTCCTCATCCTGGGAATTCCTTTGTCTCTCCTATTTTATATTCCATTTGCTGAATCTTATGTATTTCTCTTTACTGTTTTATTTCTTTATTTTGATGGAGTACATTTTCTAGTGGCATCTTGAGAAAAGGTACAATATATGTAAAAATGTTTAGACCTTACATATCTGAAGATATTTTAATTCTCCCCTCACACTTGATGGTTGAGTTGAATATGGAATTCTAGGCTGAAGATAACCTTTAAAATTTTTAAAATATTACTTCATTGTTTTCTGGTTTCCTGTGCTGCTATTGAAAGTCTGTCATTTGAATTCCCCATCTCTTGTTGGTAACTTACTCATTTTCTGACACTTTTAAGTAGGAGCTTTGAATCTCCAATTTCTGTAGTGATGTGCTTTGGTGTGAGATGTTTTGGTTTGTTACTTCATTGAGCTTGGTACATAGCAAGCTCTTAAAATCTGAATATGCAGGAATTTTAGTTTTAGGGAAATTTCTTATATTTTACTTTTGTGCATTTTCCTTTTTTCTCTTCTCTTTCTAGAACAGTTGTTAAACTTCTTAGATCCTTTAAATACCTAAACTTTTATCTTAATTTTTCTCACGTGTTTTGATTATGCTTTCTGAGGTAATTATGTACCTTTTTTCCAACTTGCCCATTGCGGTTTTCATTTCTGCTATCCTATTTTTTAAGAGCATTGTTTAGTCTTCTGAATGTAACTTTTATATACTCCTCTTGATTTTTGGGTGTAATATTTTTATCTTTGAGAATATTAATTATAGAAGTTTTGACTTTCATATTTATTTTATTCATATATTGAATACGTGAATTGATAATTCTGAAAAGCAACAAAGAGATGAACAGTGTCAAGCAGCTCATCCTCCCACCCCCAGCTTCCCCGTTGCCCCCCAGCAGGCATCACTGTTACCAGCTTCTTGTATATCCTTCTAGAGATTGGTTTTCTTATACAAGGGGGAAAATTCAACTTAATCTGGTTTGGGAGTGTATTTCTCTTTGTTTAATTCAATGTATTTTCCATGTCATTCAGAATAAAATCCACATTCTTAATGTGTCTCACAAGGACCTATATGACCTGCTCCCAAACCCTAACTCTTTCATCTTATTTCCTACCTCTCTTTCACCCCACTCACATTGACTGTCTTGCTGTTCTTGGAATTCATCGTGTGCTTTTACCTGAAAACTTTGCCCTGTGATAACCTCTGCATGATATATTTCTTCCCAGGATATAACTGTATGGTTTGCAACCTCTTGTCAAGTCTTTGTTCAGTTTTCCCTTTAACATAGAGGCCTTCCTTGACTACATAAATAGCAGTCTTCTGTCTCCTAGAACCCTCATCATTTTTGAATAGTGAAATAAACATACATTCAGAAAAGTATGTAACATGCTTATGTACAGTTTAGTTATAAAAGAAAGCAATAATGTCACCCAGGTCAAGTAATAGAATGCCCCTCCTATGTTTACCTTCCTGATCATAACCTCTTTCCCCCATATCCAGAGAAAAACCACTATCTTGATCTTTTTAATAGTCGTTTCCTTGTATTTTTCTTGATAGTTTTACCGCCTGCGTATATATCCAATTATAGAATTTAAATTTTTGTTTTCTTCTATTTCCTGCATTATTTGCTTTCTTCTGAATTTCTTTTTGTTGTTGTTCCTGATTTTCATGCTGGAGGTTTTTCTTAAAATGCCTTGATGATCCTTGGTTGTACGTTGATATTTAAACATAAAGCACTGTAAAAAGCTGATTGGAATCTGGGTAAGGGTGCTCTTTGAATGGTAAATTTATTTAATTTGAGGGTAAAGTCATTTAATTTGGGCAAGGCAGTTTCCTAATAACAGACTTCTCCAGTCTTCGTCCTGATACAGCTGTCTTGCTGCCAGCCTTTTGGTAGTCACATGGAGTCAAGGTGGCTAGAAGGAATCTTACAGTTTGGAGTGTAAACTTATATTTATTCTTAGATGTGTTTGTTGCCTCCTGATTCTGAACCTCTTTTGTTCTAATTCTCTAGAGAGTATGTAGTCTTTTCTTGGTAAGAAGAAGAATCGACAGTACTCACTAAGTTGTTGTGACTCACGGTTGTGATAATTTAGGTTTGAGAGGTAAACATAGAGACTGAGAAAGATTGATACAACATGCCTCCCCTTGGTATTGAGTTTCTGGTGTTGACAAACTAATTATCAGATATTTTATCTGGCATGTAAATATAAATAAAAGTTTAATTTTCTTTTTACCTCCATTCAGATTTTAGGTCAGCAAATTAATGACTTTACCCTTCCTGACGTGAACCTTATTGGAGAGCATTCTGATGCTGCAGAACTTGGAAGGATGCTTCAACTCATTTTAGGCTGTGCTGTGAACTGTGAGCAGAAGCAAGGTAATTTCTTTGAAGTTGGTGTATGCATTTAAAATAATTTAGGACAGTAATATGTGTTGTATATTTTACATATAAATCACCATTGCAAACAATCAGATTTATTCTTTCAAAACTTCGGCTTGAAAACAAGTTACAAGGAAAATCGTAGAAAATAGCATTCTTTGAGGGTAGCCTTAAAAAAGCTGTTAAAGAATAAATTTGATTGTTATGGTATGCTTTCCTCTTCTGCAAGACCACATTAAGTAATTTATTTTTAGTCCATTTTAACTATATTAAATGTAATGAAATCTGTGAATTGGATGAAGGTCCACATACTAGTTTGGAAAAAATAAACTGAGAAGCACATAAGTTTAGTAGATATTCAGGTCTGCCTTCCCAGCATTTATATGTTATAGGTAATAGATAAATGTTTTAGACCTTTTTTTTTTTTTTAAAGGCATATTGTTGTATATGGAAACATTTATAAGTTTGTATTTACTGTGGGAAAGAGGAAGGGAAGAGTATAATTATATCCAGTCTCTGAAACAATAAAAATGGATATAGAATTGGATTCCCTTGAATCTTACAGATTTTTTTCTCAAGATATTATTTCATTAACAGTTAAATTTTAGATGTTGCCTTGGCTGTATTTTAAAGAAAAGAATTAATACATATGTCAAAATTATTTCATTTCACGTATCATAAATAATTACACATCTTTAGAAATGTCATTGTTGTTCTTAGATACTCTTTTTTTAAAAAATTGTGATATAGGTGAAGATTTACAGAGCATATTCACTTTCCATACAGCAGTTCACATATACTTTGTCTCATGTCATTGACCACAGTTTACCATAATGCAACAGCTCCCCTCCCACTTCCTCCCCATAGTTACCTCTTCCC